ACGGCTTTATCATTACTGTAGCATTAAATTCTACTTAAGAACAAAAGATAAACCTGAATAGCGTTTTTCACATGTATGGGCTGCACTGTCTGCGATGGAGCAAGGGAGAAATAAAGCCATGAACTTTTGTATCTCATTTAAATTTTGTCTCTAAAAAGAAAATTCCGACTGTCTTCTTGAGCTAGGCAAGGAATACAGCTGTTTTCTACTTATACTGATCCCTTCAGATGTTTCTTTGCCACAGAGATGAGTCTTGAGTCTTTGAAGTTCAGTTTTTCTTTTAAGCACAGTGCGACAGTGCTTACTGAATGTCAGAGCAGGTACCCAGCTGGGTTGTATTTCCGGGTGACTTTTTTAATGGGAGCTCTGGGTAGGGGTGACGACATTGGAAGGGGCTGGATGAGAAGAGCAGACAGCATGGCGACTGTGGGGAGCCTGTTGTTCTTCCGTGGAGAGTGGAGAGGTAGAGATCGAGGAGCTGCTCATTCGAGATGGAGCTATGAGGCGCCACCCCACCGCAGATTGAAGGAGTCAGGATCCGGCCATGCTTGAAAAGGCAGCTAGTGGGGTGGAGCAGTGGCTCTGTGGCTAAGGATCTGCCCCTGTGGCTGGAAGGTTGCAGGCTCAAATCCCGCAGCTGGCAGAGGAATCTTACTCTGCTGGGCCCCTGAGCAAAGCCCTTAACCCCAGATACTCCAAGGGTGCTGTACAATGGCTGACTCCGCACTCTGACCCCAGGCTTCTCTCCCTGTCTGTGTGTCTCATGGAGAGCAACCTGGGGTTGGTGAAAAGACAAATTCCTAATGCAAGAAATTGTATAGGGCTAATAAAGTGATGTTAAGTTATGTTTTGTGTTAGTGGGAAGAAAAGATGGGCAGGGAGCAGAGCAACAGCACCAGCTCCTGCAGGAACTGTGGGGTGGAGGGACTGAGTGTGGGACAGTGTGAACCATGAGAAGGAATGATGAAGGACGAAAGTCAGAGGTGGACAATTGGAAGGCTGCTGTTGGAAAATGTATTAGAGGGGCCAGTAGGGGGGCACTCACCCTGAGGTCTCTGTGTGGGTCCTGATGCCCCAGTATAAAGACGGGGACACTATGGTTTAGAAAGATACCGTCCTTTGTATGAGAGGTAAAACCGAGGACCAGACTTTATGTGGACATTAAAAATCCCAGTTCATTTCTCGAAAACCGCAATGGGTCGCTCAAAAGGTTTTCTGTATAACAGGGCAGAGGTCAGTGACAATTTGATGAAATGAAAATCCAGTTTTATATTCAATACGTTTTGATTCCAACAAAAACATAATACTTGTATGTCTTCCAAGATTTTATAAATCCAGTTCTACATTCATGATGTTCCGATTTATTCATACCCCAGCAATAAATATTTTGTGAAATCTGATAGCCATAAGAAGGCATGCCTTACAGCCTTTTTTATTCGCTTTTTAGATTTCTCAGTGGGGATGTCTGACCACCTCTCCAGCTCCTCCAGATTCCACAGCCTGCTTTCTTCAGTTTTTACCACAGGTGTTAGGAGATTCACATGAAAAACCAAGAACTCAGTCACTAGGTCACTGGACCTTTTACAAGTTCACAAGGGTAACAAGACAATGGTTTTGTAAGATTAATTTGCAGCCACATTTTAGTTTCTTGACACAAGTCACCAAATGTTGGCTAAAATATTACAGTAAAGTATGATTTCTTTTCTGTCTCTGTGTTCTATGGCTGTCACTACAGTTATTGAGGATGATCATATCGTGTTAGATCTTCAAACTGGCTTTCCCTATGATGATGTGGTGAGTGTTTTGCTTCTGTGTTCATCCATTTATCATCCATTTATAGAAAGTTTTTTTTATTTGTTTCTGGTAAGAGTCTCTGCAACCTGTAGTCTGTCAAGGAAGCACAGAGTTCAAGGTAGTACTGCACACTGGACAGGAAACCAGTCTATCACATGGCACACACAATTCAGAAACAGCAATTAATGTAGCAAGTTTGTCTTTGAAATGAGGGAAGAAAGTGGAGTTCCTAAAGAAAAAAGAAAGACACTCATAAGGATTTGTTTAGCCAACACTGGAGCTATTGAAGTCAATAATCGTTTTCTTTAGATCTTTGGACAAAACTCTGACTTTGCTCATTGTGCATAATTTAATTGCAGGTTGAACACCGAATTGTTTAGCTTGAATGTCTTGATAGCCACAGCAATCAGTGGCACTCGTAGTCGGCATCAATCAAGACTTCCTGAAGCTTTGAGAGATTTTCTGAGAAATCTGAAACCACACACTTCCCTTTTCCTTTCAGAATAACATTAGTCAATGGTCTCCGCCACACAACAGGACAGCCCCTTCACCTTCACCTGCACTTCTCCTGGAAAACAGGATTTAAATAATTGAAGACTGAAATAAAATAATTCAAAACATACAGGCATGCAAAGTCATGTTAATCATTCCATTACTATGTTCTTAGGAACCAGAGAAAAGGTAGGATTGTGAATGAAGAAAGAACATACAAAAAGGGGTTTCAAACAGTGACATATCAAAATAGAGAAAAACTGGACAAGGCTCTGACTGTCAGTGATGTGATGTGCGGTTAAGAGATACATATCCCCCTGGGTGGCCAATTGAGGTGAATAAGAGATTGCTAGCATTTACAGGCTTGGCTCTTCTGAGTAACAGTTAATGTGCTCTGGAGGGAGCTGTGGGGTGTCTGGTTCGGCCTGCCTTCCGCCTCTTACAGCTGTTTTGGGCAGTCGACCAAGGTGATGCCAGATGGACTGACAGCAGTGCCAGCACTCCAAGCCCAAGGCTTGAAATCTGGAATGGTTTCACAATTATAACATTTTGTTTAATTTAAAAGCACACACACTCACACTCTGATGGAAATATCCCATAAGGAGTGCAAATTAAAAATACACATCTCGAATTACCCATGTGTTACAGTTTTTTGGAAGCCCTGAAGTGTCTGCTGAAGTCTTGGCTTTTCTCTTTAAGCCATACCCCAAAACACTGTCACGCGAAATTTAAACACCTAATACAGGAGGAGCAATAAATTACAGAGCTTAATGCATTTATTGAGGTACACAGACTACATGTACGCTGAAATGGTCTACTGACAGCCACTATCACACAGATTGTATTGGGATCTCTGCAGGAATTCCAGTCTCCATGTTTAGAAAACAAATCACTGGCTCATGCCGCGCATGTCTCCTCTATCACAATAAACCTTTGAGAACTCTAATGATGTACTACAGCCCAGGAACTGTTAGCTTTGGCCAAACGTCTGTGTTTTCAGCTTTCGGAAAGCTCAGCTCAGCTTGGTCTCTCTCTATCCCCAAAGCCACCGTGACAAAGAGCTCTGACTGGGGAAAGCCAAGAGCATAGTTAATCCTGGTAGTTGGGCCTGCTGGGGGCCCCAGCCTACCTCCCATCAGATAGCGTTCAAACACAGGATGCATGGGTTAGAATCAGACTAAGTTCTTTTTGTCTTACATAATACTTCTTGCTACTACAGTGGCTACTACCACAACTCTATCTACTACTACTATTAATAAGAATTGTAATTTAGAAATGAAATGTTAAAAGATATGTACAGGTAATAACTGGAATTAAAATGCATTTTCCCCCCATATTGAGGTTTCTCAATGCAAACAAGTCTCTTGTGAATATGCTAGGTTTATGGGAAGCTGGATCTGTAAGGTAATTTTCACATTAATAAGTGGAGTGCCTAAAATGTTTAGCAAAGGGCTATATAAAAAAGAAATTCATTCAATTGGATGTGTAATCTTTCTCATTAAAAGCTGTCTGCAAGTTTGGTTTAGGTTTTAGAAACCTTGTGCAAAATGTGTAGCCATTTCTGTGGCTACAAATTTCAGGGGTTTTGACACTGGCATGAAAGACTATTTAAGCCACTAACAGTGACATTGCTACTTATATCCACTTTAAACCTTTGAAACTGAAAGTTAAGACACAGACAGGCACACCTTTTACAGCTTTTAGCTGTCAAACACACAGCATGTGTATTTTTATTTTTCCATACAAAAATAAACAATATATCTCATCATAATTAATGTTATCATTATATATAACAAATATCAATACAAGCTACAACAAAACAAAAGAGATGGCAAATTAATATTTTGTTGTATTTTTTTGCTCTTTGCTTTCACTGAAAGCAAATCTTCATGGCAAGATCTGTTGCCTAGTCAAATATACATTTCTCATTTCCTTTGGAAACTTAAATCCTTGATTCATCCTCATGTCACCTCTCAGTTTTACCTCAGAGAACACTATAAGAAGGGGACCCTGCCCTGGAAAATATATTTCAGAAACGGCTGACAATATGCCAAATAACCTGATGTTTTATATTCACCGTTAACACCTTCGCTCTGATGTTCTTAAATAACATTTTTAAGACTGGTTTCATAGACTCTAATCAGCACCAGTCTGGACACTCTCATCTAAAATATTTATGTAGCCCAAGATCAGGGCTAGGTGGGGTCTGTGAAACTACTGCTTTGGGCTTTACTGCCAATGCTCTGAAGAAGCATTGTCTGTTTTAAATTATAGATCTTAGTGATATTTTTACACTGTAATGCATAAATATGAAATTTGGTCAAGAAGGAGATACAAAACCAAAAAAACTTAAAAGCATGATTCCCCAGGTAGTACAATATACAACATAAACACTAAATCCATATTCAAATAAAAATAAAAGATTATGAATGTGTTTCTCTAAGACCTGTTCTGTATATACAGCATATAGAAACTTTGGAAAGAAAGATAATCTTTTTTAGAACAAAGGATTCTTTAGACTTCCAAAACATTTCCCAAAGCAAATACAGCTGAAAATGAAATTTGTATTGCTAGGAAAAAAAAAATCAAAGAGCACAAAAAGACATTATTAAAGACAAGTGATTATCTGTGTCGGCTATGGGCAGTGCTCCTGTGTCATGAGCCACATCTGTCTGATTTTTTTCCAGTATTGTAAAGCCAGTGAGATTTACTTCATCGACTGCGCATGTCCGTTTTCATCTGGTAAGGTTGCCAGCACTGATGTAAGCCTCTAAAAATGGCTTGAATATACAGTATTTCGTTTAAAATTTTCAAAGATGACAAAACACAATCTCACTATTGAATAATGAGGCGAGCACACTGTAAAACATGAAAAAAATAACAGTAAGAAGGTTCACAGCACAAGAACATGGATTAGCAAACCAATTTCCTGAAAACCTCCTAAACATCAAACACTCAGATTTCAATAGAAGAAGTGCTCAAGGGGGCAAATGATAGAACCAACAACAAATACTGGGCAAAGATGCAGATGGGTCTACTGTAGAGCACAAACTGAAGAGCACAAAACACAAAGAATCAAGCCTTGGCACTTAACAGTACCTGCATAAAGAGCAACCCGAAACAGGAGATTGCCACATGTATCAGATGTAGCATTTAAATGCTTACAGCTCCCCTTGCTAGAAAAGATTTATAAATGTCAACGCCATCCCAATACATGCACTTTCTGCACTTTGCACCTCTGCAAAGGCTTCTAAGGAATGGGAGCTGTCTAACTCTTTGACAGTAAAACATGAAAAATAGTATTTATAAAAATGAATTACACTAAGAGCAATAACAATACGAATGATACTAATGAGAATAATTATCACATTTTCCAACCGGCAATATTGCACATGGTCTCCTGCTGTCTCTCTGCTGAGTAAGTCTGACACTTCAGAGACAAGTTTCTTCGAAAAATAGTGCAAGGGGGTGCAACCTTATCCCCCGCCCTCTCTCACTTCATGCCTCCATCTCTGCTCCTTCTCCGCTCTGTCTCTGTCTCCAGCGCCCAGGAACTCCCAGGGCCGCTCCAGGCTGCTGTGTTTGATCCACGTCAAGCTGAACCCTTGTCAACTAGTCGCTTTCAGGAAAGCCACCTTCCCTGGGGCTGCCACCAGGCTGGCAGAGCCTGTCTTGAAGGACACAAGCTGGTGACCTGAGGATGAGGAGAGGGAGGGAGAGTCACAAACCCATTTCTCAAGGCAGCTAAAAGGTACACATGTGCAACAAAGCTATGGCTGGACTGAACTATTGCTATCAATTAAACATGTTTTTGAGCTCCAGATGTATGGGTGTCTGTGTATGTGTGCCTAGATGCTGACATAATTCTAGTGTATGCAAAAGTAAGAAAAAAAAATAAAAAGCCAGAGACACACTAGGTTATGGGAATCATGCTGTTTTCAATTCATTTCTACATAAAAATGATAAAGGAAAGAAGAGACATAACAATGGCAGCTAAATATTGAAACTGTTTCTGTGAGGAAGTTCTTCATATCGTAGTGTTGCAGTAGTGACAGAAGTCAGCACAGCGATACAACATTGTGACGTTGTTCCTGCCACACAGAATGTTATTCCAGGAAGGTAATTTTACCTGCAACAGCAATATCTCATGTCATGTAATGCAATATGTATATACCACACCGCCAGAGAAAGCTGAAGAAATAATTTACTATACAAAACGAAGGAATGGACTCTCGGGCACTTGTAAAAATGGAATGTTAACTTAGCATAATTATGTACTTTGTGCAAACAGCAAGGTGCAAATGGCTCACAATATACAAAGACTTTTTTCCCTTCTCCCTTAAAACCATTCCTTTAGCTCCGACAGACTTGAGTTGGTCAGAGACAGTTAAAGAGGTAGACCGAGAAGGAGTGAGAGGGGAGAAAAAGAAGTGGAAAAAGTAACCAGGCACGTGAAAGTGCTCTGGGTCCAGTAGAGCCTGTTTCAATAAAGATTAGCGACTGCGGTGCTGACGTCTCCCTTTCAGCTGTGTGGTTTAATTAAGTGGCTGAGCCAGGCTTCCTTGTGCAGCTGAACATGAACTAGGGAGGTTGTGGGAGAAGGAGAGGCCTGATGAAAGACGGAGGGTGGCGAGGCTGCTATTACTGCAGCCATCCATCGACACAAAGCCTGTTTAATCAGGGAGTTGTCTTTCACGGCGGGGTCATTACTGTCCCTGGGTGTCTCCCAGCACAGCCTGAGAACAGCACCCAGTGAAACACTACACTCCAACAGCACACTCACAGCAACAAAAACACCGGGCAAAGTACTCTGCCCACTTCTCCCCTCGCACTTACATCATTCAGACATGTCTGAGACGGTGATGGGCAACTCTTTCACCACAAACCCGCAGTGGGCTCCAACCCTCACATGCAGCATGGAGAAAATGTTTGTGAACCCCCACCATAATTATGGGAATTACAACTTCTTACCAGGAGTCCATTATTTAATTGAAAACAGTCTAGTCTTAAATAGCCAAAAGGGTTTATATTTATCAATGCAATGTCCTCTGAGACACAATGGTGTATGAGGCAGAAATAAATGAATATTCATCCATTACTCCATCCATTGTCAGACAGACGGATCTACCAATGGAAAATATTCAAGGCCATGGTGATCCTACCCAGGGGCAGCCTTCCTGGCAAGATCTCCTCCATCATCCAGGAAGTCACACAGAACCCCAGAATAACATCTAAGGATTTGCTGGCCTCCCTTACTGTGGTAAATGTTAGTGTTCATGCCTCAGGCATCAGGAGCAGACTGAACGGGAATAGATTTCATGGGAGGATAGCCAGAAAAAAAAAAACATTGCTCTCTAGAAAGAACATTGCTGCCCATCTCACGTTTGCCAAAAAGCACCTGGACAATCCACAAGACCACTGGAAGAATGTTGTCTGGATACAAGAGACATACAGTAGGTTGGAACATTTTGACCCCAATGAAAAAACTTGTATGCGGTGAACACCAAACACTGCCCTCTAACAGAAGAACCTCATCCCACCTGACAGACATGGATCAGGGCTGCATTGCTGCCTCAGCACCTCCAACTGCTTGCCACCATGGACAGAGCCATGAATCCGGCATTAGCAGATTCAGGAGGAGCATATCAAGCCATCCATTCGCTCACTTAACGTGAGTTAAAAGTAGGTCATGGAGAAGGACAATGATCCTAAACACATAAGCAAAGCCACTGTGTAACATAATTGCTGAAAAAGAAGAAATGTTACATTTTGGATTGGTCAAATCAAAGTCTAGAGCTAAACCCCTTTGAAATATTATGGCCATACCTAAAGTAGGTGTTCATGCAAGAAAACCCTCAAATGTCACTGATTCTGTAAACCAAAATCCCCAAAAAAAATCCCTAAAAGATTACCATTTCAGTAAAAGGTTAAAGTTATTGCTGCTCAAGAAGGTGTCATCAGTTACAGATCACAGACTTATTCACAGGAAATTTATATTTGAATGAGTTTGTTAATAATTCAAATCCATCTTATCTTTAGTTTTTGTATTACAAGTTTATTGAGATTATCTTCATCTTTTATTAAGACTTTCATTAAGATCTAATTATGTTTAAGATCCAGAATATATATAACATAAGAATATGGACCAACCAGGGGGGTCTCCTAACTTTGTTTGGTATTGTATTTGCCTTACCGATATTCTGCCTTGAGCAGGACAAGCAATACTCAAGTACTAAATGTGCAATGCAAAAAAAATCAAGACATAAAATCTGAATACTTTTTTTTGCTATAACAAAATAATTGAAGATGTTTTGTTGACTGTTGAAAGACAAGTCTTTCAGAAGACTTGTCTGCTTTCAGTTTTACTTATTTGCTTACTATTAGTAAATATGCACTACTTTTCATTCTTGTACTTTTCTGTTTTAAGCGTAAAAGAGTGCCTTTGACATTACACACTGTAGTGATTAGCCGTGTCAAAGCAAAATGCAGATGCCTTTTAAGCTCAACTCAAACCAAATTCTATTAAAATATCTGAACTTCAGAGAGTGGATGTACAGTATGAGGGATACCGGACTGCTTAACAGCAACATGCACAACACTGAAGATCAATGTAACACACTTTCAACATTTTCAGTTGTGTCATTAGAGATATGCGACCAGGATTCCTTATTCCCCTTGGAAGCACATGAAAGACTGTAGCACACACATCACTGTGATTCAGTGAGGCAGTGCTGGCAAGGGCTTCCTTCGTTTGCAGTACAGCTGGTTGGAACAGTGCTGATTCGACTAACAGTTGGTGATACTGAATTAGGAAAGCACAAAATAGAAATACAGAGGGAGATTACAAGCTGCATGAAAGAAGTTTCACACAATAAGAAAATGAAGAATCCACTCACATAGTAATACATACACAAACACAATAGAATTATATATTATGCACTGTTATCTTCAGCAACCAACAAAAAGAATCCATTTAAGCAGAGCAAAACTGTCTCCTTAACACAAACAAATGTTAGGTACAAGAACCTGATAACCTTTCACACCCATACATAAATGCTATAAGTACTATACAGTTACTGCCTACTCAATCAGAAGCACACACAGCCAATGAGAATGAAAGGCATGTTACACTCAGAGACTGGGTAGGAGAGGGGAGGAGGTGGGGATCACCTGTCCATGTGGTCTGATTGGTCATCACAAAGGCTCGGCACTGGGCGTGGCTTTCACACACGCCAATGGCCTCGCGGACACTGAAAACTGATAGCAGGCAGCCTTCATGTTGATAGGATGGCCAACAGCGGTAGTTGTCCCCAGCAATGGTAGCATCAATCACACGCTTGTACTCTGTGGAAGTGGAAAACAAGCATTTTTTTTTTTTAATGGCGGTGATTTTGTAATGTTTCTCTATTCTTAAATAAGACTGACAACAGAGGACAGGAAATAATAAACTGCATGGATACCATCATTTTGATAGATAATTCAGTTCATTAAAAAATCCCTTAGAAAAAGGTTCTAAAAAATAGCACAATTTGCGCAGTTTGCCTCGCAGTCTGTGATGTATATCCTCATTGATTCATGCATAAAACATTTTTAGCCTGCCTGCGCGCGAGTTCTATTAACATAACTTCACAGGAGCCGCACAGTTGTGTTTTCACAGATGCCCTCTGGGTTTTTAAAGGATTCAGTAGACAGAAGACATCCTTGAGCTGAAATCTTAAAAAAGCAGGAGTGATTGTATTTTACAGGATACTGATTAACTAGCAGAGCCAACAAACAGAGGTCCAGTTAGGCACCCAACAGATTAAAAAGAGGATATTGCAGTCTGGTTGCTAATTTATTGTTCTTTTGTTGTGTGTATTGGGTTATGTGTTTCAGCAAAACAAGTCTTGCAAATAGGCCCGTCTCTCATCCATTGTTTGTCTGTATGGCTTTTACATGTAGTGTACCAATGCTTTTGCAAAGCGGAGGCTGTGCTGACTAGCCCCTTTCTGCTATGCTGTTTAGCACAGGCTGTAAACTGTATCTAGGCAACTGCAGGCCAAGGCAGCTAGCTTAAACTAGAGCCACACATGCATAGGAGATAAAAGCGTGGAATCTATGAAAAGTAATTATTCACTTTCCAGTAGCCTTTTCCTGAAGAAAAAACAGTCACACTAATGTGCCCTGGACTTTTATTTCAGAACACCATCCTTCACGTCTTAAGTCAATAATTGTATTTAAAAACCTTGGCTCAGGAATGCTACAAAGCCCGAATCAGTAAATATTTTTGAAAATACATGTAACTATTTAGTACACTTAACTACATCCTAGACATAAAAGGATATAGAAAAGAGCTCCACATCATTTCACAGTAAAACTCAGAAACACTACACTTCACAGCAGTATCAAGCAAGTCTGCTTTAATAAATGGTGTTAAACTGAAGTATTTCCTCCCGTGCCATGTCAGCTTGCTGTGCTCTGTGCAGGGATGGGTGTAAGTGAATGGGTATGTTCGCGTGTATGACAATTGTCATGTGTTCCTACTTGGGTTGATGTAACAATGAGAAACATGCATTATGTGAACCACAGCCCCTGTCCACATAATTTTCTTGTTAATTTAAAAGATTTTTTTAATACAAATGCTCATGATTATGGTGATTAATGCTGCAGTGGAGATTTAGTCTTCACCATAGTGAAGTTTCCCCCATCTCTGCTTTCTGCATGTGTTTGATTGGGATACAAGAGTTTCTGTCTGCCGGAGGGGTTTATCTCTCCTATCCCCTGCTAGTTCTTCCTCAGCACAATGGCTCAAGCTGAGATTAACTGTCCTCAGTGCACACCACAAGTGTCCCAGTACTCTAACACAAAGACAGCTCTGTAGGCTGGATTGTGCTGTAGGAGGACTAACATCTCGTAATTTCGGAGTGCTGACAGACTTCACTCAACAGGGCGCCGCATAAAATGGGAGAAAATGAAGGCAGTTAAACAGCACACCTGTGGGAGTGTTTGTGTGCCAGCACCCGCTGACAGCACCCAGACATCTAAAGCTCAGAAAGATCTCAGCAGTACTGAAAAAGGGCCTAAAAGCAGAGAACAAAGAGCCCTCTCCAGCATTTTGGGAAAACAATTTGTCAAAATGTCTGACGAGCCGGACTATTTTCATTGTCTGTGAAACAAGAGTGATCCAGCAGAACTGGGTGTCAGGCACTGGGGAATATTCATTCTTTTGAGTGATGCTTTGTTCAATCCCAAAGTAGCAACTTATAGAACATGGCACATGCTTGATCATATTAATTGTACCGTCTGCCTTTTTTTAAAAAAAGTCTTCTTTTTGAATGTGAAAAGACTGAGGCAGTTAAGAAAACTGAATGTCACGCATCGCTTTTTAAGACTGAGTCACTCTCTTGCCTGGCTGCACTGTAACTTTCTCTCACCACTCACCACTGCACTGCCCTGAGCCATACATCACAATGCATTGCAGTAGACATTAATCAGGCAGCTCTGTGCTGACTGAAAAGGTGGTTAAACTTGCCATTAAATCTTGTTTTAAGATGGTTGAGCTGGTTCACGAGACTGTCATGATGACTCAATAAAAAGTCCACTTTAAAATCCCTTTCATTATAAACTCCTAGTCAATTTACTGTGAATCAGTGCCCGTTAGTTCCAGCAAACATCTTTGGATGCCAGGCTGTATTTGTACACCAACCAGCTGATTTTGTGGGTCAGTTTACAAACCTATTTAAGACTGTGGACTAACAAGTTAAACATAAGTAAAAAACAGAGATATTGTTTGGCAGCAAGGAGCCAAATTTATTACTTCTCCTCACTGGACTGGGAGTTTACAGACCACGACCCTTCGCTATAAAGCCTGATACTAAAGCTAGCTACAGTAAAAGGAAATATTGTAGTCTCAACAGTTTTAGTCTTAACAATTATTTGAAGAACTTCATTGAAAAAAAAACATTTGAAAAATGAACTGGCAAATTTTCCCACAGTTTTACTGTCTTATACTAAATTTACTTTGGTCTTTCATCTTTTCCTATATTTCCTACTATGTTTTACCATTCTACTCTGTACGTAAGTTTTCTTGTGATTTCAGTACATTTTTGTGAGGGAAGAATTTCAAATGAAAACTTCATGATCCTAAAACATACCTATGAAAGTCTTAACTCTAGTTTTAGTCCAATAGCTCTAGTAGGTAACAGTACACACTTAAGTAGATCAATACAATTACACTGGCTAAGATTTTAAATGGACTGAATAGTGTGCAATATTCAATGCTCTTGCAACACGCAGGACGAGACTGCACAGAGTTAACTTAAGCCAAGTCACTTAAAAAAATAAATTCATATCACCTCTCCCTAAAATCTCTCATCAATCATCAACTGTCTACATCTGCTTTTCACTGCCACCGAAGCAAGGAGAGCACTACAGAGAGAGAAAGACAGAGACAGCTCAGAGCTTTAGATTACTCTGTTTTTTAACATGTCACTGATTATGACCTATTTGAACTCAACCAAGTTATTACTGAAGTCTTAACCTCTTTAATGTGTTTTCTTATTCAACTTATGTGAATTATATCTTACCCTTTCCTGTATCACCTGGTGCAAAACAGTCACAAATATTGGAAAAAATACATACTTGGAAACAACCAGCTACATTTTTTCCCAATATTTTTATTCTCTTATTATACATACATTATGTACATACATTAGGTCTTTTAGAGGAAAAGATACAGATGGGAGTCAAATGTATTACGTGATTGTGCTGTACAGCGACATAAAGTCAATAGTATTTTGTGGTATAAAGGGAACTTTAACTCCTTCTGTTATCCTGGCTTTGGATTTAAACAAAGTGTTACCCACGTAAATTGACAATCATGTCTGTCTCTAGCATTTCTTGGTCAGGTGTTCTAGAAAATGAATGTTCTAGAAGATTTATGACAAAATCTCTTGTCACAGTCATCTGGTCTTTCTCTTTGTTCTGTTCTGTGTTCTTTATGAGCATTAATTGAACCTGCTTTTTATCGTGGAGAACACACCTTCAGAAGGCTTTGCTGCAGGAAGACAAAAGCTTCACCTTCGCACACTCTCAGACATGCATGGCAAGTCTCCAATTGTGAGCAATCTCTGGCATCGTGTACCATGGTAAATGCAGTTAACCTACATTTTCCTGTAGTTACATATAGTTTGGTCTGTGGTCAATAACACTGCGATTTCCATTATTTTATATCATTCCGTTTCATATTTCTGTACTTCACAGTATTGTGGGCAGGACTTTATTTTGCATGACTTTACCCTAAGCCTGTCTAAGGCTTGTGAGGCATAGGAAATTGAGTGGGCAGAGCTCTCTGTTGTGAAACACAGACCTTGGGTACCACTCGGTGTAAATCCAGGCACCTCTTCCTGTTGGAGGTGGCACACCCAGTGTCAGCTTTCCACCTAAATTGAAGCCTCCTGACAAAGCAGTTAATTTGACACCTTGAAGACGTGATCTCTTAATTTCAGAGTAGAGGGCATGACAACATCTTGTATTATACACCAACGGCCAGTCAACAAATAGAAGATTACGGATAGGTTTTCGCTGATCCTACTTTAATTGCGTTTTTTTTCCAGAAACCATATTTTGAGAACCAAAAAGAAAGAAGTAAAGTCCTTGCACGCTATGAAACACCTGCCAGAGTAAGCCTGTTTCTTTTAAGAACAAAAGCAGGTTAAACACTTGTTTCTTAATAAACAGAGGCCTCAGGGTGCTTTATCGCTTGGATGGAAATCAAGAACGTAGCCTTTGCTTCACAGTTTTTAACTGGTACCACCCCATTGCTTAAGAATACGGGACAGGTTTGGAATCAGTGACACCAACATTATAGTAGGAATTTCTTCCCTAGAGGAAGGTAAGGGCAGGATGACGACATGTTAAACAGAAGCTGAAGAGCTGTTGATATATGCTATCTTTCAGCAAAAGGTTACGTTAGCTGCTGTGCAATTCCATGTCGGCACATATTCAAGTACTTTCTAGAGAATGAATAATACACTTGACTAAAGGCTGGAACACATCAAACCTCCAACTTTACGTTAACAGACTGCATAACCAGCACTTAATGGCAACCCTTTTTTTGTGCAAGAGGCAACTTCTATCAATCCCAGAAAAACCTGCAATTAAGCAACAGATTTGTTATTTCCAGGTGGTAGGAGGGGTGACATTTGGATTTAGTTCAGAACATAGTCTCCTTATATTGTAACTTACTTGAAACATTAAGGAGAAACTTCATTAACATGTTTAATTAAAAATTAGATTGATGTTAAAAATAATCAAGTCTTTTATTCTTCAGGTAAAATAGCAGAATTGCCCAGTGGGTTTATTTGTATTAAATGGGGATGCAACAGTGGCAGTACAATAGTTAGTGTTCTTACCTGCTCTGGGAGTGTGTGTCATGTTCTGCAGGTAAAGACCGTTCCTGTAGAGGTGCAGCACCTTCTCCAGGTGACCAAGAGTCTCATTAATCCCCCAAATCAACTCTCCTACACAAACAAAGGCACAACACACTATTATTTCAAGAGACCTCAGGCCCTAGCTGGCTGAAACAGAGAACCTTCCAACTGAAGAAGGATAAGTGAAAGCAAGATTTGACACAAATAAAATTCACTGAGGAGGTAAAGAACAAACATTTCCAGAATACTACTGTGATAGTTTTGCATATCTCCATTTTCTAGCTTGGCAGAAGAGTGTTTCTTTACCAAGTTTTGTTAATTGTCAGTATATATGTCCCAGTCTATAAAAATTAATCTGTCATTAATTAAACCATGTATGCAACCACAGAAAATATCATATGAGCACTACGGTTATTTTGTTGCTCTTATGCGTACTACAAGCATGAAAGGTTTTGGCAGATCAATGCCTTTGGCCAATGTGATTCAGAGAGTACATGCTTTGCCCCTTCACGAAGGCTCAGTTCAGTGGAGGATGCACATCACTAATACAGGATACTCCATAAAGGAAACCTAAGACAATAAGCAGCCTGTCTGTGACTTCCCTGAAGAAAACAAGATAGCATCTTAGCCAGCCTGCCCCACGGCGCGACAGCCCAGCGCCGTCATGGGCTGCTGTGCCCTAGAAGACCAGATTTCAAATACCGTCTGACATACCATCTACTTGATGAGTACACAGATACTGCACACTAGCCCAGAGGGAAAATGCAAAAACAGAATTGAAAAATGCTGGTCTGTTGTGCGGTGTGGAGCGTGTCCAAATCATGCAGATGAAACAGATAGCAGGGGCTGCAGTAACTTGAGCTTCTAGGAGCCACGACTCCTCCTTACGAAGCTTTAACATCAGTGAAAGAGAAGGTGGCGAATCCCACCAGAGTATCTCATGTGCAGCACATCACTGACCCACACTTTGATTTTTGGGGTTTATTGGCTAAGAACTAGAATACATCTAGTTCTCCTCGTCAGGAAAGCTGTCAATCTGCTGATTGCAAAAGAAGCAAAAGATGAGACCATGGACATTGACTGAATTCTAATGTAAAATGAGCTATTGATATCTGAGATACTTTTGGATTTACAAATTAAAGCAGAGATAAACCAATACATCAATAGTTGTTAGGAAGACAAAAGTCCACAGAAGGTAGACAGTAAAACAGATAAACCAGCAGTTTCAAAAGGCCACAGAGACCTCAACGCTCCGGAGCTGTGGAGTCTCTCACCTGTAGAGTTGACTATCTTATCTAGTAGTGGTCTCAGAGCAGCTGGAGCACTGTGAGGCAGAAGGTATGTGAAGAAGAACCTGGAACACACAGAGCAGTGAGTTTCAGCTAATTGCTGTTGTCTACAGGAGTGGAGATTACATCTGTTGCTCTGAGAGGAAGATTGTGAGCAAACAGGTGGAAGAAGTTCTTTCATGATCAAAAACAGGATTTTTTAAGCCTTTAGTTGTGTTTAGGAGATTTCAGATTAAAGTTAAAAAGGAAAGATCAAACTGAATGAAACACTTAAGCTCACAATGTAAAATACAAAATTATTTTCCAACCACTGATTTCCCATCAGACTAAACATTGTGGATCTTGGATACTTATTACACTCATATGAAGAATTTAAAGATATTTTACCTGTGCTAACTTGACTTTTTCAAATGCCCAGTAATCATGAATAACTGTACTAAAAGGTTTCCAGTGCTCATTTGTTGCCTTTTGAACACTGCTCAGTATTTATATGAAAAAAAGTCATTTTTTTCAATTAAACTTCACAGTGAGGATACAGACCAACATCTACATGTTTTCAGTCTAGCTGGGCTTGTAATGACTTGAATCAGTTCGTTACTGGTGTAATTGCACCAGTTTACCACCTTCTCCCAGCTCTTTAGGTACTGGTACTTTAAAGAGACCTGGACAACCTGCAGGTACACTGGCCCTCCTGGACCAGGAGCGAGGGCCCCTGATTCAAAGATTCCTATGAAAATGAGTGTTTCCTGGCCGGGCTGGCTCACCGGTAAGCATTGTACAGGTTCCTTTTCTCATTGATGGCGAGGCAGCGGCCCTGACTGGAGCAGGGCAGAGTAAAGTTGCGGGCAGGGAACTCCATGAAGCAGTCGGCACTGGAGGAGCAGGGCGCCTCTTCCGCACTGGCATCATCCAGGTCCGTTACCTTCAGCTCCCCATCCACCAGGACAAACTGCCGGGGCCGGAAATCCAGGAGTGTGACGGAACCCAGGGGGGAGTTGGCCAGGTAGTGCAGCAGACGCACCAGACTGAGACAGATCTGAAAGAGAAAGGCTGCCAGCTGTAATTCCAGCACAGACAGGAGGAGGAATGGGACTGGTGCCTCTTGAAGCTATGAGAGCACTCAGAGGACTGCAGCTCGCAAAGAGCAGTCAACACACGAACTGTTGACAACCATGAAGAGGGTCAAAGACAAAGAGTACAGCGGTTATTGATGAGACTTTTTTGGAGCACTCTGAAAATCAACAATGCCAGTAAAAGATGAAGTATCTACATTATATTTGCACTACATTGGACTCATAACTAACTGATTGTGGGCGCGAGTCTCTGCTGCAGACACTGCTGTTGTACCCTGAATGAGGTACTTTGCCCCAGTTGCTCCAGTCCACTCAGCTGTATAAGTGGGGAACAGCCATTACTGAGGGTAATCCCAGCAGTCACATCCAAAGGGTAATTGCCTTGCTCTCATGTGTACTTAACACAACATAAACCAGGCTGAGCTCTGGCCCAATAAACTACTAATGCTGTGGTACGGACTTTTCCTTTATCTATCTGCTCTACAGAAACCATGTATTACCGACCACCAAAAAAATAAAGGCATGTATCTCAGACAGTACATTTTCAAAATCTAGTGCTAAATAATGAGTGCTAAATAATGTTTAAAATGTCCCTAATTCTTCACCTCTCTTCACTGAGCACCTTGGTCTTGTGGAGTCTGGCCTAAGAGTTGGACTGTGCTGCTTATCTCTTCTTGGCTCTGATTCTTGTTTCTTTGGCTCCACTGCCTCCATCAGCCCATGACCACCCGACCTCCCCCTAAACAGAACAATGGTCTGTTCGCTTTTGTTCCCATCAAACAATCCAGTTTTGTTTTTTTTCTAATTAAGCTTGGCGGCTCCTTGTTGGCCTGTGAATACATTGACTCGGGAGCATCCCGCCTGATAGTTCAAAACAGACAGTTATTCTGTGCTTCGCTGTGTGGATTAAGCCTGTTCTATTGTGTCTGTGAGGCAAAGGGCTCAAGACTTGGCACACCAAGAATGACAAATATCTGTGGTTGGGAGAAAAGCGGGAGGTGGAGGGGAATTACTTTGTTAAAGGAACAGTACATGATTCACCCTATTGAAATCACATTAGGCATCTTTTAATATACTGGGCTTTAAGAGAGACTCAGAGAGGTCAAGGAATAAATTGAGGGGAAGCTGCATTCTCAATCTCTGCTCAGCCTTGTCCAGGCTAGGGCAGCCTGGAAAGATATTTCAACACCGGCTTCAAGCAACAAAAAGGGGATTTAATATATGCAACCCTAGGAACCCTGAGTGGCTCAATGATTATAAGCACTAACTTTGAGAGCAGGTTAAACTCCACAGTTCAGTCATGTCTGGGTATTGTCACAAGCTGCCTGTGACCAGGATTCCCCAAACTTTTGCTGCCAGGATCTGGGTAGGGTTTCAGTTAATAGGGTCCTCTAGGTTTCCAGCATTCCAGTAATCCCTGACTGCAGTTTGTGGTGATGTCAGTGAGGGACGCACTGCAGCTCCAATTTATCGCTAAACCTCCTTTACGTTGCTGCAGAGCTTTGTAATTTGTGAAAACATGAATGATTCAAGGGGTGGAAGGGTGAGAGCAGCCTGTCTACACGTCCCCATTCTCCCTTTGTGCGTATGGGGGTCATTCCTGTGAGTTAAGACACAGATTCAAAGATTCAGAATGAGTGGGATATACAATAAATGATCGCCAATGTATAACAGATAAGGATCGCCAATGTAAAACCCAAAAGTTTAAAAGGCAACTATACAATGCCTGTGCTAAAGATCAATTCTCCACTTTCTTTTTGTGACGGGAAAATCCACTCATATATAATAATGTATGGGAGCATGAGTCAAACACCAAGTCACTCTGACAATCATAATCTATCCACCTCTGGTTCCAAACAGACACCGTCAGAGCAGAACAGCTTAACCAAGAGCTTCGTTTAAAAATAAAGCATGAAAAGAAATCGCGTTGCCTTCCATTTGCCTGTCTGACCCCCAGTGTATATCACTCCACACAAATGTCACAATTTATTTTTATTAGTTACTGGTTTTTAGTGTGATTACTTTCTCTCCTGCTTCTTTGATAAATTTGATTTCTTGTTTGGATTGCAAAAGAAGCAAAAATACCCAAATATAGCATAGACATAACAGCAAAATCTTTTAAAATATAACTAACCACATTTTAAGACCTGAACACCATATACAGCAGCTGTATGTGAAAATGCATTTTCTCCATATGATATTTAAATATTGGTTAATATAACACATTTCCCCTAACTGGTAAAAAAAAAAACATAATGTTGCAATGTACAGCATTTTAGGGTTTTATGTTCTCTTACTTAATGGGACTATAATGCTTTAAAAAAACAAAGCACATATGAAAGTGAGTTCCTGTTCTAATCTAAAAAACAATGAACATCTATCTTGTTTCAATGTTTATTTTAGCTTTTTATTCAGGCTTTTTAAACAGATTGTAAAATCATTAACCCTAGACATCACCAAGAGCATATGCAACCCAACAGTAGGGAATAAGCCTACCAACATATATTCATGCATAATATTTCTACTATGAAAAACACAAAATAGGTTGTCTGCTGGATTTCGGCACAATGAAGTGAGATACGAAAGCATATTCCCAGCGGTACTGTGATATGAAAGTGTACATCAACGCACATAGGAAATGGCTGCAGACCTAAATAGGCTATTTGAAATTCACTGAATTTACAGAGCTGTTCCCTGGGGTCTATTAATGCCTCATATGAATTGCAAATGTCGGTGAAACATTTGTACACGCCACGGTTGGATGGTGAGCAGTCTCTGGATTAAGTTCAGTCTTCAATGCACTGCCACAGTCAGGCACAAGGAGGGACATTTAGAAAATAAAACAAATTCTGTTTCACACTCCATGAAGAGAAGCCATTCAGGCTCAAAGTCAAACCCTCCTTTCAACTTTCCACTGAAACACTGTCCAAAACTAGCAGCCAGTGCATTCCATTAAGCTCTGTCCACCCAGTCAAAATACTCATCTCATGTGTTCTTGGTGTATCTGGGTCAAAGCAATTTTATCCATTTTGCTTACAGCTTATATAATAGAGCGATCTCACATTAAGAGAGCCAATATCTAATATGACAGATGTGTTTGGGCTATAGCACACTCAACCTTCAATTACATAGTTATTTTAGTTCTCTTTTTTGACTGCCATTTTGCAGGCAGAAGACTATTTCCTGCACATCTCTATTTCTTTCAGTCTGTCTTGCCCTGATCAAGCAGACAGAACAACATGTTACTCCAGATCTCTACACACGGTAATATTGTGTGGTCTCTCATTCCACGCAAAGCCACGATCAAGCACCAGCGCTCTATTGCACTTTGAGTCCTGCTCTTGCAGACAGTCTGTGCCCTGCGGAGTGCACAGGCAGCCAGTGAAAGTGTGTTCCTCCGCAGACCCTGCTGGAGATTTATGTGCTGTAATGATTTCATGCTCCCAATAGCGGGACACTCCCAGGCCACAGGAAGCAATAGGAAATAATTACAGGGGCTGCGCAGCGATAAAGATCGGCAGTGGAGCTCGTATCTATCACTGTCTGTCTGCGGGGAGGAAGCAGGCTCTCGCCACAGGGCAGTGCAGGAGTCTTCCTCCCGTCGTCAGGGCCCAGCCGGGCCTTCCTGCCGCCTGTCTGTCCACTGGCTCCTCTGCACTTGCCAAACGAGAACGAAGGGCCAGTTGGATGGAGTATGTCTTGTGTCCTTGTGTGTGCTACTGTATATCCTTCCCTCCATACTTCCTTTATATTCCACCCTTGTTCTGGACTCAGTGCAACATGTCCTATCAGGTACAGCTCATATATGAAGTAATACATTCTTAATTTCTCTAAATCCTATTACTATGCAATCATAAAGGGGCATCATGTGAATCTTAAAGAAGTCAGAAAAACCTCTAAGACGCATAGCTTTTCCTTCAGTTTTATTCCCTCTGCCCCTCCTCCCATATTCAAGTTCTATTCTTGTTCAATGCAGTAATGCTTTTTCGGCATAAGTGTATTTTAAACACTTTTTTTAACATGTTCAAAAAAGGATTTAATACTTTCCAAGCAGCACTACAGTCATCACAAACCAGTATACTTGGCTGGGACTGCTTTACTTACAATCATTAATCGGCATGAAGTAGGTGCATTCAAGGCAGGCAGCACAGTTAATATTTCAGATTCAAATGAGTACTGAGGGGTTTGTTTCATATCTAAAGCTTCCAGTCTGCTTTATACTGCCTACCTGCAGCTGGACACAGACAGTGGGAACAGTGCTAATGTACTACGTGTAATGACCCCAAAACAAGAAAATATACAGTGCATACAGTACATTGTGCTTAGATTGAACTGTGAGAGGAGCACAAATTCCTCTCATGTTTAAAAAAGTTCTAAATACTAAGAAAATGTAGTTCATCCATGTGAGGGAAGTGTTTTTTCATGCCATTGCGCTCACCAAGTGCAAAATAATGCCTGGATATGTGCAAATTGTTGTTGCTCTTTTCTTCACTTCCAAAGGTTATAAAAAAATTACAGATATTAGAGCTTGCTTAATAGAATGAATGTTTTTAAATGCGAAAAAAGATTTAAATTTTAAAAGAAAACATCCACTGTTTTCGTTCAAGTGGTGTGTCAGGGGACTGTCTTTGTTGGAGACTCTGAATTGTCACACACAGCCTCCTCCATCACAGTCACACACAGAACACTGTTTACAAAGATAGGTTTTAAATACCAATAGAATGGACTTTTCTAAAGGCTGGTAACTGAATTCAAGACCCCTCCCCCAAATTATAGAATCTATAGATGAGTATTCTAACTACCATTAGTCTGTCTGTAGTCTTGACACCTAAAACTTCAGTCCTGTGGGAAGTTTCAGTCCACCCTTTTCAATGTGTTATCCCTATAATTGAATAGCACGCATTTGTTTCATGTTCAAATATGTTGTTTGAGTTTTCTTTTGAAGAGAAAAAGTGTGCACAAAATGTCAGGCAGGGCAGCACTCAGGCATGGTTAGGAACAGAGGCACTTACAGACAGAATTACACAATGACAAATGCAAGCAGGCGGGTAAGCACACAGACAAGCAGACACATGCACACAAATCAAACCAAAATCAGTTTCAGGACTAACAGACTGTTGAAATGGTCATTCAACAACAGATTAACTGGCTGGCGGACTGAGGGACAGAACAGCAACGTATACAGACAAGCAGGCAGATGCTGTCCCAAGCTCTGTGTATTACTTACTCTGAATCTCTCCTCCCAGGAAGTCTGCAGCAGTTGGATCATCTCCAGAGGGCTGCCCAACTCTGTGATGGCTGTCAGAGTGTCACTTATGTCATTGCTGTCGTGGTAACAGTAGCCGTACAGCTGCAGAGACAAGGAAGTGGCCAGCGGTCAGAGATCCGGTTCATAACTCAACCCACCAACCCACAAGCTTGCACTGATACACCCATTCAACGTCTGCACCCCTATCAGCTATGAAAACACCAAACCAATAAGAATATAAACTGGGTTTGGTCATAGCAACAAGGATCAAAGGAGGTGCAGGCTGAGAGTCAAGTGCTGAAAAAAACTCTGTTTTTTTGTGTATTGTATTGTATCATATATATATATGTTGTATTATATATATGTGCCATTCTGATCAAAGTAAATAAAAATGCTTCTGGGGCTGTATAGCTGTTTTCCACAGAACGCAACTTCTATAGACGTTCCAGTGTCAGAATGCTTATTTACTTTCCCCATACATTTCCTGGCAATCATTCACAAGAAATATTTCCATAAGCTAATTTGCCAGAATAACTAGTAAGTATGGAAAATAATGAATTTAAACAAATTTACAACAAAGAAACTCTTGTAAAGCACTGCACAGTACATCCAAGGAGTATTAAAATAAAAAAACAGGAGAAAGCATATGACAGAAAATCTTATTTATACTCCTGAAAATATAATTTTACTAATAATATTGGTAAGTTATTTAAATATAAACAGGAAAGGTTCATGTTTATAGATTATTATCATTCTTGTTAATGGAACATTAATTAAAACAATATCAAAGCAAGGACTTCAAAAAAATTCTAAGAGTGACCAACAAGTATACACAACAGAATAAATATTACTCTTATTTTATGTGCATATGGAACCCATAAAGTAAGGTCTTTTTAATATAACAGAGAATAATGCCTACCCAGGCAATACCAAGAAATCTAAATATACATGTTTGTAGATAAATTACATACCACAGTGGTACTAAATAATTATATTTAAGAGAACACTCATCAGGCCACATTATTGTACTCACTCCTTCTCGAGCTCCTTTATGTCAGAATTTCTATTAAAATGTTCAAAGTATTGTCTGGGCCTAGTCCACACACTATATATAATATATTATAATAAATATAATCTAATATAATCTTGTTATATTTGCAATCAACACTCAGAGTCTCCAGGATAGGGTAAAAACAATTCATTTATAACCAAATTGTGTTTTTACTTAACACACATTTGTAATAAACCTAGAAGCTCTATAAAATTAACATTTCAATCTCTCAATTATTTATTCTCACTTTGCTGTAATTGACAAAGCTGTATTTTTCCATGGTTTAATCTGAAATATTTGCATTCATAAATTAGCAACAATGTTACTGATTCCTGAAAATCAAATCTTTATATAAATTACATCTTAATCCAACAGCAATAATCTGGAACAAATGTGTTTATAATACAATATACTACAGAGGCTGCTTATTGCATCAGATATTGAATGTATCAAACTCAACAGCCTGAACTGCAGCACACCAGGGACTGTGCAGAGACTTCAGCTTGGCTGAGGAGGAGGGTCTTACTAAAATAAAGTTGTTTCCAACCCTGTAAATTGTATCTTGTTGTTGTGTTTTTCATGTTTGGACAACCAGGCAACTGGGTGGAGTGAGACAGGGTTTTATTTTGGTGTGTTTTTCGTTTTATTGCTACCTTAAATAAATTGCTTGTGCCTTAGAAATGTGTCAGGCAAACATGGGTGTGAGGCAGGGGAAAGCTCTGTGTGACAGTGCTGACATCACCTCTTCATCCAGACTGAATCAGAGCCTTTCCTCTGGCCAGGGAAACTACTGCAGAAGATGGGTCCAATTAGCTAATTAAGTCTAAATTAACTGATTACAGTGTAGATGGAATGACAACCTGAGGTTTAGTGGATGGCTGGCCTTAAAGTGGTAATCAACCAGGAGACAATGACACTGTTGAAGGCAGGAGCACAGCCAAATTCCTGACCAGGTGACCAGAGAGAAGCAGCCAAACAGCAGGATACGGAGGTTTTAGAAACAAAGGCTGGGCTGCCAAGCGTGTGGGCTGAGAGTGATTAAATCTGGGAAGGCATGCTGGCAGGGAGCTGCTGTGCTGTGCTGTGCTGTGGTCACAGCAGGCCCGGCAGAAGAGTGCTTTCAGCTTCATCAACGGCTGCTGCTCCGCACGCATTTAAACAAATGCCGAGGCAGAAACGGAGTTTTTAAAACGAAATTCGCAAAAGCCCTGCCATCCTCACATCCCAATGTGTACATGTAAGACAGAAAACCCCAAAAAGGGTTTATCCACAAGCTTGTCCATCTGGTCTCTGCACCGACTTGACCATACTAACCAACTCTGAAACTGTGTGTTTCAGCATGCTGACCAAAAGTAACACATGGCAGCTTCTAGCACCTCTCCATATCAGTTTGCACTCCTTGCAGGCCTTAAGCATTCTTCTACAGTAAGTTTCATCATGTAATACATCTTTAGACGTTCAGGTTTGTGAGTATACTAGCAACGGACCTGCTGCTTTTAGTATTTCTTGTAAATTAAAGGTGAAGATTAATATAAAATGCTTTCTGAGCTTTGTATGCATTTATTGTCAAAGAACAGGCTGCTATTTGTCTAGATTGAAATCAGTCAGGCTGCTGATATTTGTGTTCTCTAATGGAGGTTGTACAGCTGTCCTGTGGAGGACACGGCTGTTCTGTAACCTTGTGCCATTGCTTGCTTTTTAAAGGGACAAATTCTGTACGTTTCCTTTTTCTGCATTAATACATTATACATTGTTTTGTAAAATGTTTGTTTTCAAATACCTTCTTTAGCCTGGTTAAGAACTCTTGACCTGTGGGTCTGCTTTTAAGGACTAGATGTTTAAGGATGCTTATGTCTAAAAATCAGGAATTGTAACCCATAGTGCCCTACATACAGTAGGAGTGTATTGCCTTGCTTATAGCATCTACACAACTGAGGTTACCATCTTCATCAAATAATGAGCTACCTCTTTGAGGCCAATCACTTTCCATTTCAATAGGCTGTGCCTGCATCCAAGCTGAGCTATGGTACAGCCAAAGTTTATATTTACTTTTGTTTCTATTTATTTGGTGCATTTTTAAATCCAAAGAGGCACTCTGGCATCTCCTCCTGTGAATCCCCAGAATTTAGGATTTACAAGATCAACACAAAGATCCAGCTTTTTATCAATTAGTAGATAGCTCTCAAGATTTGCTATGCTTATAGCCCCAATGCAGAAATAAACCTAAGACAAACCATGAACAATTAGTCCCAATAGGCAGGTTTTCCATAAGCAACATAAGCTATCCTGATTTACTACATACAGATAAAGGGATTAATTTGCCACTTAAAGTGTACAATCGCATCTTGAAAAATAAACAAGAGCTTCTCGGCAAGGAGAAAGCAACAAAAACAAAATAATTTGTTTTAAAAAAGAGAGGGTGAAACTGCAGGAGGTGAGCTAAGTGTGAAAAATTCAATCTTCTTAAAAGAACTCATCATAACAGGAAACCCTGGCAACATCCTTGTTCTTGACAAGAAACGGTGAGTCAGCACCAGGCTGTGCTGGTTATGAGGAACATTGTGGAGCTGAGAAGCTGCTCAACAAGGAAGGCAGTCAGGTATCTCAGAAACAGCTAGGAAGAGTAGAACAAATTCTGCCTCTAGGTGCAACACATCCAAACGAAACACCCCATCAATATTCACCAAACATCTGTGCTCTGTGTTGTACATTAACAAACCCACACTGTACAAAACATTTATGTGTCTGACATTATTAATACATAAATAAACTCATGGCAAGGTAAAGCTGGCTGTTACCCCAAGGCACTTTTTAATGAGAAGGTTCTGGCAGGAAATCAAAATAGGAATAGAAGCGGACGTGTTTGTTCAGAGCAGAGAATCAAACGTCTGCCTGTGAACTTGTGTGCCCAGAGTTGCACAGTGTAAACTCCACCAGAAATTAATGGGGGGCACTTCAGATTAACAGCAAGATTTTCTTGAAGGACAGAATAAGGACTTGTCTATAAAATATACAAAATTATTTTACTTTTTTAATACTGCACGTTTGCCTTGAAAGGTTCTAGAATAGTGAATAAGCCCTGTTTTGAACACTTTGAAAGTGTTCAAAATACTTTAAAAGAAATATAGTTGATAACATTAATTGAAGGAAATGTGCATTGCACAGTCCTGCAACGAGTATGCTTATCAGTTGAATTATTAGCTCTTTTTTGTTCAATGTTTAACCATTAATTTTAAATGCATACTGTACTTTACAGTGTTTGCCCTACTTTGTACATTGACTGCTGTGAATATATTAAATAGCTTTCATGACAAATTGAATTCAAATCAATACAGCCTCCTGTGATTCATGTGTAAAGAGCAAATACTGTCATTAACTTTTTAATGAAATACAATGAAGGTTTAATTAAATCCATAATGGGTTTTGTGTAATTACTTGACAAAAAATAGTAACTACATTTGTGCAAAAGGATACGGGTTTGTATATTTGGTAAAAGAATTAAGCCATAAGGGCTGACTGTTGATGACAGCTGTTGAACTATTTGTTGTTTTGAACTTGTTTGCACCTCTCTTCTGCCCAGATTTTGATCAAGTGTTTGAAGTTCTGGAAGAAACACTGGAAACAAAGTCTGTTTTCCAGTGCAGGACAACAGAGTTGAGGTAGCTGGCCACCTTTCAAAATAGATTTACAAAGCCAAGATAGCAGTGAAAGGAGTTTTTTTCAGATGTGAGAATCATTAACACTTATGCACAGTGGGAATGGATTTTTTTCTGTACAGGAATGAAACAGAAAATGAGTCACAAAAATTGGGACAGGGATATACACCCATAAAAGTATTAAAGTGCCAAACACCCTAAAGATACAGTCAAATTCTAAGGATAACAAAATGTAAAATTCCAGGACAGGAGCAAAATGAAAAAAAATCAGCAATCTGTTCAAAAAAATAACACAGACTTTAACCTTGATTTGACTTTGGAAAGTTGCTGTTCTTGCTGCAAGATGGTATTGCACAATTAAACTTTGAATGTCTTTGCATAAAAACTGAAGTGAT